TATTAACAGCTTATGTATTAATAAACATTTATATATACAACTTTTTAGATATATAGATTTATATTCAAACAGTTTATCATTTTAGAAAATTATCTATTGTTATATACTTATACCTAATTTTTTTGTATGAGCGACTCTTCATGTTTTATTTTTAAATAATAGCCACACATTATATTAAATTATGGACTACAAATAACAACGGAGATGTAAAGCATTTCTAAATTTAGAATTGTGTACATGATTTTTAAATATATTTTATGATATAGAACAACCTACATGGTAGTTATTGCATATTCTCTAGTAATTATAAAATTATTGCAATATAAAATTTCTTTTTGTGTTTATTAATAATCTGATTTGTAATAATATCCATTTAAAGATATTTCAAAAGCAAGTAATATTTACATTCATAATTGTAATTAATTATTTCATTCTTAACATAGAATTTATGCAAAATAGGTATTGAAGTCTGTAAACAAATAAGGAAAATGTATGATTACTTAGAAACTAAAAGATTGTCATTTGAATAACCCATTAAGTGTATGAAAAAGTTATTTTTCTTACTCTTTGTACAGTAAAAACATGTAATTGTTTATTATTTAACCAATTTATTTCATAAATAATTTAATTTTACATATTAAAAATTAATTGTATTTTTTATATTGGTAAAAAAGTGTAGAGATATTACTTTTGTAATATTTTTTAATGGATAAATCAATATAAAGTAAAATGAAACTTACATATAACTTCAAGTAGAAAGTTTTTAGTCACTTTAAGTAGTATGATTAAATTGAATTATAAAACTAGAATAAAAAGTAACAATGAATAAGAGCTATAAATTATAGTTAACAAAAACATAAGTGCACTTTAAATTATTCAAGGCAAAGATATAAATATCTGAACAAAAATCTTTATGAATGTATTAAGATTACATAGTTAGTAATTTATTTTAATGTTATTTCCCTCAATAAACATTATGACTTAACTTTTTAATATTTGCAGTGACTCTTCTATATTTATGTTGATTTTTTAAAGTAATAGCAATATGCGATAATCGAAAACAGAAGCATACTATTATCTCGTATTGTAGAGCTCTGTCCTGCTCGCGAATATGGCGGATGACAATAAGCTATCACATTCACTCCCTTCACTCCGTGGATAAGAGAAAGTAACAAAAGTGTACAAATACATCCCAACCTCGATCCACAACAAGTATTGCATCCGTATTCATCATGAATAATCGACTATCTTCATATAATAATAAAACAACATATGATCGTTCGCTGTATGACACAATAAACAACTCTTCCAAACATCATAACCTACAATTTAATGCTCGCTCAAGCGTAATATATTATTCCATATTTTACTTATAATATTTCTTAGCTATACTATTACATTTTAAGAATTTGGTTAGTTCGTTACCAAAAGTAAACAAAAAACATATAAACTAACCCTTTCTTCATGAGCCACCTCTGATGGCCCCAGTTGGTTTAGGATTGTTCCAATGAAGAAAACACTCATCCATTTTATAAACACGAATCGGTTATCACAAATTAATTAACTTATGTTTGCACTACTTGTCACAATCAAACTATAATTCTACTTTTCGTTGCGCTAAACGCAGACGTCATTGACAAACAACCAAAGTGACGAGTTATTGCACGGAATCACATAGATGAAAACACTGTATTTTTTCATGGCCATTGCGTTGACATATCACAATTCTTATCACTTTTCGTTAATACATTACTAATTACAACTTCTTAATGAGTTATTTATAAAAATAAAAACGTATAAAGCGAAAATTATTAGACAGCACTCACGACGTTGCACACTCGCATATAACGTGCGATTTCATTTCATATACACTCATAGTCACGCACACCTTCAAAGGCAACAGATAACAATGTCCTACTTCAACATTATTGTAAATGGCAATACTTACGTATATACAAGTAGAGTTAAGAAGTTTTTGTTTGGTTAGAAAAGGTCTTGTTATTCTACAAAATAATAGTTTTAGGTTCGTTTTAGTTAATAAATGATTTAACTAAAGTTCTTACTATTTCCCTATTTATCTTAATTCTATAACTATCTCGAACCTAAAAGTAGTTATTCGATATTACATAGTGATTATTGGATTAAAAAGTTTTTAAACTTTTTATTGTATGTTACTTTAAGATATTAAAACACACTTTCATTGGCTATAGACGTTTAACTATGAATTAGTAGATACAAAAAATATATATTTCAGTGTAATGCTATAAAAAGATCTTGTTATTAATTGTGACATAATTATCAACTAGTATAAAGTTAATTGTTTGTGAAAGTAGTTTATAATTCCGTAACTTTGAAAAGCTTCGTATAATACTATCAGTGTGAATTTATTTATCAACTTTTATTTTATTCATCTGTCTTTTTCTAAGTAAATACTTATGAAATGTATATAATGTAATGAAATTAAAACAATTTTTTTAAATATAAAACAACGCAATAATTATTCGACTGAAATAATTTATCTTCTGTTTTAATAATTTTATAATACATATTTCAATAAAATTGTATTATATTTAAACTATCTTTAGGATATAGACCCTAAAGATAAATCTGCTGTGAAATATTTTTGTAACAGTTTTTTTTTATTTAAACTTCTAATTTTCAGATTCAACATTTCCTCATTCATGACAAGTGGACTTGTTTAGTATAGGGAATACTAATAGTAATAAGAAAGACTTTATGATATGGGTCTAATATTTTCATTACTGTAAGATCCATTTTTAATAATGGCTATTGAAAAAAAAAAGAAAAAGTTTTTTATCGAATTTCGGGGAAATTGTGGAACAACTATTCATTTCTGGACTTGGCTCTTTATTCCTAGTCTATGTAGTTTTAATTATTTTGATCTTGGGTCCTAAAAAATTATTTTGCTCATTTAGGTTTTTTAAGGTAGACTTTGAAATAGTTTGCTAGTTATGACTTAATAATTCTACTATTTTTTGATTAATTCTTTTCACTTAGAGTATGGCAGAACATTGTTAAGTAATGTGAAATAGTACGGAAAGGTTATCCTAAGAATTCCACCTTGTAGGGAAAAATAGGGGTTAAAAATCCAGTTTACAATAAATAAATAAAAAACATATATGTAAATACACAGTTTTATTAGAAAATGAAAACAAAATTCCTTATACTACCTAAATAAGGCACGACGTGTTCAAACAAACCGTACGGCGGAATATTTGGAAGCGATGCAACTGATTTAAAACGGCTACGTCATCAGTGTTATACGAATAGTGAGATGAAAATTTTATTGAAAAACATTTAATATATAGGATATGTTAAAACGCACCAGGCATTTAGTTAAAGTGAATATGTATTTTTTTATTTGCAATACTTTGTTGTTATATAAAAAATTATTTAAAATATTTATGCTATTGTAATAATTTATGTTGGCGTAGCTTAGAAAATTACTAACTAACCCTGTACATGATATCAGCAAGCTGTAATATACAGTGCGTTTTAAATGTGTGCAAACATTGAAATGTATAGTATATATTGAAACATGATATATTAGATAGGATTCAGTTATAGAAGCGTAGAAGCTGAATATTACAGATGCTTCAGAAAAGTTTTAAATATATTTGTGTGTATTATAACTTTACATAATATACAATAATTTAGTATACATTAATACAAGTCTCGCTTGTTATATACAAGCTTTCAAAGACGCTAACATTACAATGTGCGTGTAGACATTTAAAAATGTTAACTTTACAAAAATTAGTTTATTATTATTAATTTTTATATATACAGGGTGACTGGTGAATTACTATCAATATTTAAGGAGAATACTCGGTACATGATTCTCATTCGAATTATGTAAAAAAATAGGCACTTAATTTTTGACAAAATTTCCGTATAAATAAGTAAAGTGTTGACACGTTCCAAGTGTTCAAGTGTGGACGCGTGCGGCGTCGTGCTGATACAACACCACGTCGCGACACGCGTATGTGTGAGTGTGAGTGTATACCTAATCTGTAGGCTGTTCACACGATGCGTAATTAATTACATAACTTTTGGTTAACTTTACTTAGAAGTTTATTAATATTTATGTTATATTAACTTTTATTTTGTCATATATGATCGTCAAATATCACGTCCTCAAGTATTGATAGTAATTCACCAGTCACCCTGTATAAAATTTTACATCTAAAGCAAAATACACTAAACTAAACGTCCCTAAACGATTACAATCTCTAAATAAAATGCAAAATTGTCTTATTTAGAAATAAATATCCCCAAAAGTCATTTGTTATTACACACTAGATTTGTTAACTAACAATAATATCTTAATTTGTAAGTCTTTGTACCAAATCTTTATTTTAGTTGGAAATTTAAATTTTCGTTTCTAATTATAATGTAAGAGAGCGTCAAAAAACATTTCAATGCGAGGTTGAAATTGACACTTTTCATGAAGAAAAGAGGATTTCTTGCCTCGGTGAAGGACATAACAAAAATTTTTACTTTCAAAAAATTTTGAATGTCAATTATAATATAAATTATTAATCAATATAAAATACATACAAAATATGAGCTTTATGTCCATCATTGACAACACCTGTGCCTTATTATATCTTAAAAAAATTCTTTACAATTAAAATTGTCAGGAACTGCCAATTTTTTATACAGCAAAATTATTTTAATATTGTCTTCAAACATCATCATAGAAGGAATAAACTTAATGAGAAACATTCTTTTGATAAAATTACAGTTATAATAAAAAAATACTTTTTCACATTACATTGTTTAAACGCCGAAACAATTTTATTACAATAATAACAGAACTACATATAAAAAATCTCAAACGGTCTTAGTAACAATTCTGGCAATACTTGTGGTCAAGATAATATAATAAATAAAAAATGTTAAATGTTTTAGCGGATCAGTCGTATTAATGAGTTTTATTTTGTGAAGCCAAACAAGTTGGCACAGCAGGCGTAATGTCAGTAATGTTCGTCGGCCGTCGGCGCCACAGAGTATACGGAGGGAGGTCTGGAAATATAAACATATATAAGATATTAATAATCATGTTCTTATATGTATGGATATTTAGATGTTTGTTGTTTCTCTGCTTAAAATATATTTAACAGATTATCATTATACTTTCCAAAAATATAGGTTATACATTAGAATTACTTATAATTTATAAATTATATGCTATCAAGTATCAACCATTAAGTTTAATTTTCACGGAAACATGACAACTGTTTCAAGTATTATTAAATCACGTAACAGCCGATAGATGTCGCTAGCAGTAGGTTAACATATGTATTATAAACTACCTTTCATTTAATGAGTCGTGATAAAAAACTAGTCTAATCATATATTATATGGCTTATTTAGTTTACCTGATAGTTCTTCTTGGAGCAGGAAGGCGAGAAGGTCTTGGGAGGCCTGACTGACGCTCGCCTGTGGTGGGGCGGGGCTCCGATGACGTCACAACTACGGAACCACCAATAATATTTTATATAAAACAAATATTAACTGAAGTTATACATAACACGTTTATTACGATAAGATACTATAGCTCAACGTCGCAGATTCGATTCCTGCTTGTAGTAATGAATTTTTCATACTTATCAGAGCGAAATGTAGCTACACACACAAACACACACACACACACACACACACACATATATATATATATATATATATATATATATATATATATATTATACCTGGCGCTGTTTTCTGTACTGGAACAGATGTCGGCCTTGAGACTCTTAATTGAGACGTCCCAGCTATTGAATACGGGCGAGTCGTTGGAGGCTGAAATATAATAATAAATATCATTAGACTATACTTGATATTAATAACATTAATTATATTATTATTAGTCACATGTAACAAATATAAATATATTACATAACACAATATGATAGCAACATACAATTATTACAGTTCTTTTGAGTATATAAATAGCTTATAAATATTTTTAATAATGTTTCTTATATATATGGTTATCAACACTCACAGAGGCGTAATGATTGCGAGACACCGCCGCTATCGACGACCGCAACTACACAATCACAGTTAGTTTTTAACATAAATGTAGTTAAATACGACACATTTAACCCAAAAACATCAAAACAATTAATGAGTTTACACGATAGGATTTTTTAGTATCATCATAATTTGGCCAAACATAGTATTAATCAAACATAGTATGCATTCACTACATATAGAGAATTTTTCATTTATAATTTTTCTCAAATAATAAAATATTTCAACGTAAGGATGAATTTTAAACACTCACTATTAAGACGTTCGATATGAAAACTCACAATTTTAAATTCTATATTTAGAGCCGTTTTTATCGAAGGTACAAAAAAATCCTATGTAAGACAACACAATGATATTATTAGTCACAAATAAAACATTGACACCATCACCTTGAATTATTTGTATATATAATTAATTATTGTATATATATCCCTACTAATATTATAAATGCGAAAGTAACTCTGTCTGTCTGTCTGTCTGTTACGCTTTCACGCCTAAACCACTGAACTGATTTTAATGAAATTTGGTACAGAGATAGAGTTGATCTTGAGAAAGAACATAGGATAGTTTTTATCCCAGACTTCTGAAAGGTTCTCTTGGAGACGCGATATAACCGAACTCCACGCGGGCGAAGCTGCGGGCGGAATGCTAGTAATATATTATTTCCCTCACATCTTTAGGAGCAACCAGTTGACTCTGTGGTTTCTCTCGTCTCAAAGTCTCAGTCCCTTGTCTCACTAGAGCCGGTGGGTTCATGAGAACTGGTCGTTCAATTTTTTCAGTTTCTTGAGGTTTCTGTAAATTTAGTAGTATTTTATTAAAAATAATGATGATATATAACCATACAGATGTTACATATAAGTTTGATTTATAAATCTATTTTATAGTAATTTGTCATCGCATTTAAATCTATAGAATATTCGATAAGTGTTGATAACTTTATGTTCAATGTGTATGTAACAGTTGTGTCCTGATTCTTGGCTAAAATATACCTTACATATTTTTCTTACGTTTAAACTATATTTCTGTAAAGTTACATTAAAATCTGTCTACCTGTTTATGCATGAAATATCAACAATCATCGATCATACATAGTTAAAATTTTGTACTATAATTTATTATGTATCTAAAATGTTACTCACACATATATATGATTCTCGCCTGTTTAATGCCTGCGTTAAGTTATTCTGTACATAGGTCGGAGCGCCATGTGTACTTTCCGTGGGACTGAGCGCGGGGTTCGAGCCGTACACGCCGCGCCTCATCATACTACGACCAGCTAATACTCTAGCAGCTGATGGCTGGTTCACTATAATAATATAATATTATTATTAAGAAAATATTGTTAAAACACTAATAATATACATATACACGTACGCACGCACGCACGCACATAATCACTTTATATAACTTCAAGGTTAATCACGCCGATTGGACTATTTCTAAAAATATTATTTGAGCAGTAAGTTTATTTCTATATTATATTATTTACCAGGTATTCTATTAAGTTCTTTATGTGAGCTATATTGTCTTAGTTTCGATGTCGGCAGATTCGTCTTTCTTGGTATTGTAGGCGGTGGCGCCATCGCAGCGTATGTAACTGGAATTAATATATATTTTTTATTATAATAGATAAAGTAAATAAATATATATTGAGATTCCTTTAAATATATTTAAATATAGCACTTTATCCATGTTAATATGTTAAATATATTTTATTTGATAAAACCACCATCATCTCACTTAAATTACGAACTTAATGCCATATTCAAATTTGGTATTATGTAATATATGTATTTATTGAATATATTTATTGTGAATTGTATTTTATGCCAAACTACTGATAATTCATGCTTCCTTCATATAGAACCGAACAAGTTTTTGAGAAAGGCACAAATATATATACATATAAACCAGTGTTTTTCAATCTGTGGGTCGCAACCCTTAGGGGGGTTTACACTACAATAAAAACCAAATATTAATGAGAAGGATGGGCTTGTATATTTTTCAAAAGCATGTCCAATCGTGGTGCTATTTTTGAAATATTATAATCTATCAAATCAACTTGTACTTAAAGACATTCTCTGCAATGGTAGACATCAAAACAAAAAGGAGAAATAAACTGTAAAGACTTTAGACTTTTAATTTAAAAACTTCCTTGCCTGTCTATACCACAAAGAGATCGGCAAAAATTTTCAATCCTTAAAGGGGTTTCGATACCAAAAAGATTGAAAAACATTGATATAATAGAGAACTTATTTGTGTGGAGATGATTAAATATATTAATATACCAGTTTCAGTAGGTGAGACCCTATTAGTAGGCGATCTTTGTGTTTTTTTCTCCGGGCTCTGTCTCGACGTCAGTATATCTCTCTTAGCCAATGTCTTCTTTATAGTAGCACTGTTAATGACCGTTGTATTCATGTTGTAAGTCCTTTCCATATCACTGGTCATTGTGTGTGACTTGTCATCGCTAGTATCGTATATCGGTGATATAGTGTTGTGTAAGTCTAGTAATTCGCTTTTGCCTTTCTTGAATGTTGTTAGAGGTGTTGATGCTACTTGGCTATCTGGAAATTTAATGAGCGGATTATGTTTGATAGAAAAGAACTTTTTTTATTAAGAGACGATTCTATTCAGCGTTTAATGGATTTATTGTGCGGGTGTCGGGTCCATCGTTGTAGTGAAAGGAGCTTCAACAGTGACTGGGACTTACGACCCAGGTGTAGGTTTAAGGGTCTATCCAACGCGCGTTAAACGCTCACCTCTACCGTCAAAGTTCCTCTGTATACATAACCAAACTTGGAAAGAATCTACTTCAGCTGCCTTCGAAGTACGTTCCAAGAATGAATTGATAGTACTTCTGGACAGACCCAAGTCTTTTAGTAGGTCATGCTTATCTCAGTATTAACTATATTTAATAATATTATTTTTGAGTTATTATTATATGAATAATGTTCAATCAGAATCGTTAAGCGCTACAAATAAGTATTCGACTTATATACGACAGAATAAAATAGATGCATTTTATTTTTTATATCTAATCACGGAAAACAGCTAGTTGTATTCATTATATTATATGTTGTTTTTATTCTTACTTAAATGTATTTTCTGTGTGTCTGTGTGTGTCTCCGGTACACTCTCAGGCGGACTGCTCGAGCTGAATGTTCCTGTGTCTGTGCTTGTGCTCTCATTGGAACCGATCATAGCTCGCTCTTGGAGATTCCATTCCTGGAATATTAAAAAATACATATAAATTTACTTAAAGTATGTATTTTCTTGAAATCTAAAAAAAAAGGATATTTAGATATTATTGTTTAGTTAGTGACTTAATAAGACAAGTTTTTGTTTTAAGTTTCTAATACAAGGAATTAAAATTCAATCAAATTCTAAGGCCTATTTCGGTTGACACATTACTTTTCTATGTTTTCAATAATAGTTTTATTTTGTCCAAAGATTAAATAACAATTGTGAATGTTATAAGATAGTAAGTATAATTACTTCTTGTTGCAAAGTTCTTTCGGCGGAGTCTATAAGGTTCATTGTCGCTGAGTTAATATCAATAATGTTTTCATCTCTTTTCACATATGATACACTGGGCTCTATGTTTTTGGGTGATGTTTTCTTAAAGGTGGCGTTTCTTTTCGGTGTATCTCTCATAGCTGTGTTCTCATCTCTGTCGTAATTCATCGCTCTTCTTCTTGATAGTAATTCCGATGCATTTTCCATACTCTGTCTTGGCACTGTTATGATAGTTTGATTGGGAAGCTGTATCGTCTTTATTGGGGATAAATCTTGTTTTATAGCTTCAGGTTCGCTTGGTAATGCTTTTCTTGCTAGCGATAGTTTCTGTCTAGCTTGTATTATTTCGTTTAGTTCCTGTTTGTCCATAGTAACGCTCATCTTCCCTTCAATTTTTTGCATGCCCATATCGTTGTAGAAAGTGTCATCGCATTTGAACGTAGCGTTTAAATTCTCCTTCTCCGCGTCACTGTCCCTCTTGAACTTATTGTTAGAGTAATGCAGGGTTATAGTTTCGCTCATCTCACCGTTTGATTTATTTTTCGGTGAATTCTTTATAGATTGTTGCGGACTTAAAGTATTATCACAGTTCTCATTCAAGACTTTACCAGTATCTATTTGGCACGCCTCTTCTCTTGATTTCGTATAACTTTCAGAGTTTTTGACTATCGAGTCTCGTTTGAAACTGTTATATAGCTGACATCTCGGCCGAGCAGATAGCAGTTTCTCTGATTGTTCGAGATGTGTGAATGTCGCTGAACTAAATATATTAGTGTCCGTATTATCGCCTCTGGGTTTGGAAGTGTTTGAGACTATGTACGAGGAATTAACTGAACTAACTAGGCTAGGGGGAAGTGAGTCTATAAGACTATCGTTGTCAGGATATGTTGTTTGAGAGAGGAAGCTAGTGCTCATGTCTTTTTCATCCAAAATACTCAAAGTCATGCTTGTCATCATTGGATCTAGACTTTCGCGTGCTGATGTTGGCAACCCTGGAAATATATATTAATTGAGAATTTTTGACGTTATTAAATATTTATAAATATATAAATAGCGTATTGTACCAGAATCCCTCTGGGATATAGATTTCCTGCTATCTAAAGACTCTTCGTTGAAATTTCCAGAACTTTCCATAACCAGTGACGACACAAGGCTCGGTGGTGACATTCGCATCAACGACTCTCCGCTCTGATACATATTAATACTACCGCTCTCTTGCATCACGTTCATCATGCCTCTGGGATAAATTTATATCTTTAATATTTTTTAAATTAATATACTATATTATATAAAATAACAGCAAAATAAAATGAAATGTTCATAGTTATTTAAAATGAATATAATATTTCTTTAGCATAACGTAATTAATTGCGATGCTAGTTATATACCATACAATCGATCCGCTATAGTTTTTAACGCCTTTTGTTGCATCTACTTTCACATGATTCTATCGCAGTCATCTTAAATAATTGTCGAAAGTATTTTCGGTTTCCTTTTATGTTTCAATCGTACTCAAAGATACTGTACTATCTTAGAAATAAATCGCGAACTAGCTAAGATGACACTTTCGTTATTTTTAATACGATGCTATTTTATTTCTAACTAAATACCGTTACTTCTGAGTTAGACAATGTAGTCTAAGTAAGCTTACTTGTTGAATGTATTGTGTAAGTTGTGGGCCGGCTGTGATAGGTCGATGTTGATGGCTCTGAAAGACGTATTTTCCTCTCGATCCAGGTCCGCTGCTAGAGCCAGGTCTAAATCTTCCAGCTGTTATTGTGATTTGATAAAAAAATAAATAAATCACTCATACTTTATTTAAATTTCTGTTTAGTTAGTAACAAGACATATTCATAGTACTTTGAATTTCGTAAGTTTTCAAGTGATATAATGAAGTTAAAATCTTTTAGAAAATAATGTAAAACATTAATGAGATTTAAGATTTCAGTGTATATTAATACATTCTCATCTAGTTTGCCCGAGATCACGGTTTCTGTAAAGTAACTGAAACGATGGGAGTATGCAGACTTAAAAAAATGAAATATCGCGTAATAATCCTAAAATATTTGTTTTATTAATATTGTTTATTTTTATAAAATTGCTTATATAAGTTATATTTAATAAATTAATTAAAAGCGTCAACTGTAGAGAGTACTTTATACAATATGTACGCAAAGTAAATTATCCATAAAAAATAATTAGTTGACACACATTATAGAAAATATGTAACAAATTAAGTATATTAAATATAAAAACATATAAATAATATTTTAAGATTGACGTAAAAAGCTGAAACCGTTACAAGCATAACGAATGTTCCGTTCGTATTAAATTGAGATGAAAACGAAAGTTATCTATCGCGATAGATTTCATAATGAATTGAACGTTATTTCATACAAAACAAAACAACTTATGACTAACAAGAGTATCACTATAGTTGTCTAATGTCTTAGATGCAGCAACGTATTAGTGGATCATTGATAGGCAAATGTATAATCACATACTGGGTCATTCAAAAATTTTATATAAATGTGAAAATAATTTGAAATTCAACTCGAGTCCTTATAAAATATATTATATTTAGTGGTTACAATGGATTTCTTATATGCATAGTATTAATAACACAATGAATATCATATTACGTGTCTATTTCGTTTATACTGGTCAATGCTATGCTTATTAGGTTGTGGGTACAGTAATATCGTATTAAATTTATAAAACTCGTTCTCAACATCAATATTGAATTCTATCGCTTAAGATGCACCTGGTGTAAAGTTTAAATATAGTACGTACGATCTAGGTATGGTCTAGAATCTAGATGTATTTTTAGCTTGTACCATTTGCAATGACATACATTACTATAGAACAAAAACTATTTAATATTCTATTGTAAATATAATGTATTATGTATGACATTATGAATGAAAAGCTTTTATTCTAATAATATTAGTAAATATATTATATTGGTGATGCGATATTTACATTTAGCTCGTTACGTGATGCGTATTTGGATGAGATGTTACTAAGCTATGACGTCATTCCGTTTCAAGAGGTGTGAGCATTTATATTTAAAACATAACATGAGATAGAATTCGGAGAATCTATATTAGATTATAATTTATATCTATAATTGATAACGTTGATAAAATTGAATCTCATTATCAAATGTAAAGATAATTTTATGATAACACGTAAATTGTTATTATTTATATATACATACGTAATTAATAAATTTAATATTAATTAAATGAATTCAAGATCACAAATTCATATTATTACGTAATTTATAGACTTTACGGTCAAGAAAATATTTGTCGTAATACTTATTGACCTAAATACGAAAAATATAATTAAATTTAAAAATAAATATTCATTTTATTCTTAATAATATTAAAATATAAATTGAATTAAAGCGTAGTGTATGTTACGTAATCCGACCCTTACGAGATATGTCTCGCAGAAATAAAAGCGGTTCCCTTTGCGGCTACTTGAATTACTTTAATGTGCATAACTGGCAACTTTCAGACTAAGAAATATAATTATAAACCTAAAATAACTTTACCGATGTTTTAAACATATAGAAATGGCTCTTTGAAATGTTTTATATTTATTGCATAATACTAGTTTTTACACGCGACTTCGTCGCCGTTAATTTCGGAATTGGTTAATATAATAAATAATATATCTGACTGGGTGAATTGGAATTTATTGAATTTATTTCGATCGAACAAAATTAATATCCCATGTCCGTCTCCTGGTTCTAAGCTATCTCCCCGTCAATTTCCAACCATATCCGTACAGCCGTTTTTGAGTTATAAATAGTGTAACTAACACAGCTTTAATTTAAAATATAATTTCATTCATTTTATGTAAAAGTACGTCTGATTGTATAAAGCTCGGAAACTACCCATTTAGTGAATTAATATTTAATAGAGATTATTTGAGATAATGATCTAGTATTTCATTCATATTTACGTTAGTTTCAATGAGTTTTAAGAACTGTAAGTCATAAAGTAATCGTCTGTAACGATATCAATAGCTTTATGCTTCAGAGATCACAATACATAAAGACTTTATTGAGATTAAACATATTTATACTATAACTCATTATTATTATTAATAATTATTTATTAGGAATACTTTTAATTTTTTTTTTCTTAAGTTAATTTATATCTGCTTTAATTCTTTTATGTTACGATATAACATCAATCGGTATGTCGTCTTTGTAATATTATAATTAAATAATATGTATATACATACATAATCATTGCTTATGTACCTGGGGATCGTCGTCCGGAGCCAAACTTCTTCGTTTCATAGAATACTCTTTAACAGCCGAACTGTTCTCTGAATTCGTATCCACATTGAATGTTTTCAGTCTCAACATAGGACTTATTGGTCCCAACGGGTTGTTGTATTTATTGTACGTAAGATATTTATTATTGAATATGTTTAACGACGGGTGTGGTGACATAGATGGTGTGTTTGATGTTACTTCCATTATGCTGTGGATGCTTGGTCGTTGTACTCTCTTCTTAGGCTTCACGTAAGTCCGGGAATCGAACTTATGCCTCTCTGGAGCTGATACTTCATCTGTAACAACAATTATGATTAATAATACGATAATAATATTGTATCTTATTCTTGTTTTGGGATAAAGTTAATAATTCATTTATATGTATAAAAAATCTTCATTATAAATGATAAAAAATTCAATTTATTTATTAGTTAATTAAAAGTCACAGTGATTTTATGACGTAAATATAACAAAAACACAGTAGACATGTCTATCCAGAGGTGAACGCACTCTTTAAAACTTTGTGTGACGTAACATTCTAGGACACAAATAGACTTTTTCTTCATACACAAAACAAAACATAAACGCCTGATGACCTATGAAACTGTGTCACAGAGGAGAACAAAACAAAAAAAAACTGCACTGAAAACGAATTATATATAATAGTAAAATAATAATAAACTTATAATTAAAATTATTGTATATTAAATACGAAAGTTACTCATTTTGTAACTTATAAATGGTCGGTTTTCGACGAACATTTATTTACATAAAAGTTATGACCTTCGATGTTTTTATTTAAAAAATCAGTGACAATAATTTTCGAGCGAATTTTGTCATATAAACATGAATAAAATGAAAATTATATTATATCGCATATATACTTTATGTATATATGTATGAGAAAATGCATTAGGTTTAAATTCACGTGTAACAACAGTTTTAGATTTGCCGCCAATTTACAAAAACAAATGACAAATAAATTTACTTCATTGAGTTACCAAAGAGTTCAACAATTAAAATTAAAAAGTTTTCGTCTCGTCATCTCGTCTGCCCGTGATCACGGTTGCTGTAAAGTAGCCGAAAGGTCGGGAGTATGAAGTTTTTTTATAAAAAAATAAAAACGCGTATGTAGTATATCCGAAAAATATTAGTTTCATTTAAATAGTTTTCATTAGCAATGTTTCTAACTGACCATTTCTAAATATTTTCAGTGTTATCCACGTATAGTAAGGTATATTATGTGATAATCTTTACGGGGCCTCATAGTATAAATGCTGATCCAGATATGGTCACATACCGTTACAAATACATTATGCGATCCCGTACATTGAACAGGAAACATGTTATGTATTGACAACCAACCTCAATCTTATTATGGTTTGTGTTTCAAACAAAATATTATTAAGTATGAATACAACTAATAGTAATAAAATGAACTAATTCGTAATAATTTTCATGAAAGAATATCGAAAAGTATTTTTTTTTGATATTAAAAGTAAAATAGCCATTGAGTTCTGAAGCTACAAAAACATAGTCCAATGGTTATAACTTATAACCAATTTTTTTATAGATTTTTACAACTTTTCCTTCCAGTCTTCATTTTGAGATCATTCAAACGGGTTCTAAGGATAACACTCAGGCTATTTTATGGTTGTGAAAGTGAAAGTATGGTCAAATATTGAATACTAATTAATACGTGGGCAGGGAACGCTAAGATTTGACATTGTACATTTATTTGACGAAATAAAACAATATTATCGGTACAGACGTGACTATTTGTGAGACATTGATAAATAAAAAAAAAATATTAACTGATAATTTTTATATCTTCGCTATGATTAACGTGAGTAATGTTTAAAACAAAAACGCCTTTATATGTTAATAATAGCGCATTTAGAAACGTAACGGTAAAATAATATCTTGTACTCAAACAATATACTCATTAAAATTGTTCACATACATATAAACCAGAAAATACCGTTTGTGAAAAATCACAAAAGTTCCCTATAGCAATATTAATATACTTTAATAAATTTTACATATAATATATGGTAGGTACGTACCCATTCTGTAACAAAACACAAGAGACAGGCAACACACTTAAACTACAACAACGAAATAATTATTAACGAGTGAATATGTACGGAACCTGTAACATTACAATTGTTCAATAAACTAGCTGAGAATTCTGCACCTTTAGAACCGGTACCAGCGATGTCAGAATCCTGTACGAAACCCAGACAATTACATGATAATTATAAACAATATTGACGATAATAAAAATATTCGTCACTGTTAAAACATATTTTAAATTAGAGATACTTTAATGAATTTATTTGTCTTTTCGCTTATAGAATATGATGAGGTTCTTTCGGGTTAGTATATAATTAATTCCATTGAAGCGTGCCTTTATACAGGGTGACTGGTGAATTACTATCGATATTTGAGGACGTGATATTTGACGATCATATATGACAAAATAAAAATTAATATAACATAAATAATAATAAACTTCTAAGTAAAGTTAACCAAAAGTTATGTAATTAATTACGCATCGTATGAACACCCTACAGATTAGGTATACACACACACACAAACACGCGCGCGGCGGCGTGTTGTTGTATCAGCACGCCGCCACACGCGTCCACACTTGGAACGTGTTCACACTTTATTTATTTATACGGAAATTTGGTCAAAAATTAAGTACCTATTTTTTTTACATAATTCGAATGAGAATCATGTACCGAGTATGCTCCTTAAATATTGATAGTAATTCACCAGTCATCCTGTATATGTACGAGAAGATATATGATATATGAGTGTGCCTTATAGAATTTGGCTTTACATGTTACCAAATCTATTGTGAAGGAAGAAGCGACATATTACTCCAACGAAAACAAAGATAAGCACTCAAGTTAGTATGCATAATATAAAAAAATATACAATAAAACTATCATTTTGAATGTAAAAACTGTAGAAAACTAAATATATATTAAGAATTTAGATAAGATCTAACTGAGTTAAATAACGCCTACACCAATGGTTGTTACAAACAAACAACCCAACAAGCCAGTAATGATATCCAATTACTAAATTGTAAGTAATTGTCAATTTCAATGAATCACAAAATACGTATCGTGGAAATTAATTTCACGAGACCTTACCACTACTTTGCACAATTTTTCATTAACTAATCTCTAAATAATTAGATCTAATACTTTCGCGAATATTCATTTTAAGCTCTAAATATGTAGTAACGTATATGAAGTAAATGTTAAAACTGTCTGTACTTAGTTTCCCGGTGCAAATTCGATATAAGGATCTCAACAACTAAGAAGAATCCTTCTATCTAATTGAGATATAATTAAATATGTATTAGATTTAGCAAAAATTGAGTTAAGATATTTCTTTATAACTATAAGCCTTCAATTTAATTGGCTACTGTATTAAACGTAGTTAAAGTAAACTATAACTTATTGTAAATATTGAATCATAGTAAAAAGCCCAAGTTCTGATTCATTATCGTTTGATATTTACGATGTAAACAAACTAATGTTATGACTGAACTTTAACTAAACTATTGTATATTTCAAAGTAAATAAAATTTACAAGTTATATACAAAGTTGTTGTTATGTATTTTAATGTATATGAAATGACAACTATACAAAAAAACGACACCAAAAATATTATTTATCTTCGGGCAAGATGACTAATCGGAAATTTTCCTGAAATCTCCTAGACTATAAAGACGGAAAAGAGTAAGGTAATTTTATTCGAAAGCAAAAATTATGCGTAGTTTCGAAGATAAATTATACAAAATATATTCGGTCTAATAAATGCATGAAATCTCATAGAAACAATCGAGTCAGATATTCAAAGTGAAAGTGCACTCACTTTTAAAAACAATCGATGAAATAAAAATAAAAATAGACAACTTTGGTGATTCAGCATTCAATGTGTGACGTCATAAGTCCGGATGCAGAAACAGTTCCGCGTATTTATTATTTTATAGGAAATAGATCTCATGGGAAAATGTTTGAGAGACAAATAAGTTTTTCTCGTTTACTTCCTCGACCCATATCGTATTGTGATTGACAGTAATTCAAACATGTCTACGGACTGGTTATAAAAACATTATCCCTATTATTATGAGAATGTGTGACACTGTAACGCAAATATTACTTCAGTAATGTAGCTTATATAACAAGTATTATGTCTTCGAATATAAAAGATAAAGTTACGATAGACAACAAGTATTGAGCCTAAAACTGATAGTTTTAATAAAAATAAGCTTCAATATCTAAAGGTTATTGAACCTAAATTTAATGCGTCGATCGTATATAGGATTTATCTTATCGTATTTGATAAACGCGAAATAAAAGCATATTTTCGTTTATTCTAATAGCTTATTTGTACTATAATACGTGTTAGCATCGCCAAACTAAATACAACTTCGGACATATAGTTTCCCGTCTTTCGTTCAGAAATTGTCGCACGCAATATATATATCTATGTATAATCTATATCATTGATCTCAATGTGCGTATTTAAGATGATGAAAACTTATGTTAAGAGTAAAGTTGCGTGTTGAATACATAGTAAATTATGAAAGACAAATTATTTGTTTCATAAATCAACATCTTTTTTGTCCCATCCATTTGAAATTCTTATATAGATTTTTGTCATTTAAAATAATATTGGAATCATTTTGATGAATCTTTACACTAATATGAGAGCTATATATAAGAATATAGCTATAAAAAATTTCAAGAATTATAATTAATTTATACCATGGACAAATTGTTATCAGTGTCAAAATTATTGCTTATAAACATTGATAAAAAATTATACAAGATATATAATATCTTTAAAGATAAGTAATGGTTTCTTAATAATATGACGAATGGGTCTAACACTTGGCAAAATTGCTTGTCTATGAGATACAATGATAAGTTCTTAGTATAAGGAACATTAGCTATATTGAAAGATTACTATGACTTTGTAATGATATCATTACAACTTATTTAAGAAAACATTTGTATGTAAAAATATTATAAGTAATAAGTACTATTATAGAAGTACAAGTTTTCACTTACTTTTTTTATCTGTGTTTAAATTTATTTTTGATTTAACTTGAAAACTAAAAGGGGCAACCCTATATTATATGAATTGAAAGAAGCAAACATGGTTGATTACAATAAAATAGTATTAAAATATTCTGTTTAACTACCTTAAAGTTGTAATATGATTTTGCAACAAAAAGTAATTTTTGTTATTAAAACCAATAACACTAACTTTTAAAACTACATATTATCTCAAGATAATTCATTTTTTCATTTTCATCTCAATATATATGATGGAATGAATAAAAAAAACATTATAGAATATTTTCTTGACATAATATAAAATACAAAAATGTTTTCATATAATAGTAATACTCACTTTTAATAATATTATCCAATAGCATGTGTAATTCTTTCTCGGTTCTGATGTAATCATCATCTTTAACAACCGGCCAGGCGTTGGACTGAAAATATTCCTCAATATCTAATTTCCGTCCTGAATCTTCAGGGATTTTATATAACCTTAAACAAATAAATTGCAATTGATATATGATTTTATACACATATAAATATTGTATAAATAGCAAGCTTAACACCAAGATACATGCTCTAGAAGCTAATATTTGGGACATAGAAAAAAAGTTGTACCTGTGTAAAAATAAAAAAAAATATTGAGGTAGTATGTTAATACAGATAATGTGATAAATAAAATACAGATAAATATTTTTAATTAGTACTAAAATTATATTAGTATAAAAATTAAGTTTTATCATTGTACAAACTTATACACAATGTTACAAATAAAAATAACACTAATTATTCATATTGAAATGAATAATCTTTTCATTAATAAACTTGTTACATTTTAGTACTTTGCTTACTTCCAAATGTTTCATATTTAAGTAAAGTGGAAAAGATGTGGGAGTCCATTTTATGAGTCACAATGTATTTAATATTAGTATACAGAAATGCAATTTCATTTTTATGCAGTATTTGGGTTCAATAAACATATACCTTTGGTAGTTAATGTTCTCATATTATATTTAATTTGAATTTAGAATGTTGAGATATATAAATTTACATTACTAAAATATATATATTAGTATATATTTTAATATAGCAAGTAAAATAAATTCAGTTTATGTAACCATATTTATGGATATAATATTTTTTATCCAATAATCTAACATTTGATAGTAAATGGGATTAGTGTTATAGATATAAATTTAAATTTTAAACACACTGATAATACACTAAATTTACAATATTGAATCAAACTTTTGGTACTTATTAGGTATATGTGTACACAAACAAAGTAGCTCAGAAATTGAGAATTTTCATTTGATACAATAATGGCACACAACTTATGCAATTATTTATTTCCTTGAACTTCTTTTTTTTATTTTGATAGTGTACAAATTGCTTCATACAATTTTACTTTGACACCTATATCATTTTTAAATACCTTCAAAATATATGTGAGTTTGTTTATTACAATGCTGAAAGTGTATAAAACTGTTTATAAAAATGATATTTACTTAAATTTTACTAGAATTACTGTTAAATACGTATTAAGTATACATAAATATATGTGTAATGTACAATGTCAATAGTAGTTGAGGTTTGTTTGAAGTAATGTGTATATGTAAGTAGCCAGGGATAAAGTTTCTTGAATCTGATGTTATTGTTGTCACTTACCATGTCTGATCATCTGAATAATCCAGAGATTCCACGTCAATCAGATCGCAATCAATCATATCTTTGTTTATATTTTGATCAACTTGATTCATAATACTAACAATATCAAGACATCAATTTGGCACTTTTCACAAATCACATAGAAATTTTAAAAAGCAAGAACTACATTTAATATAAGAAATACTATAAATATTATAAACATAAAGGAATAATAAGAACCTTCGCTAACATGTCCCGACAAGATCAGATTGGAATTTGACATATCACTTTAATGCCAAAAACTGACGAAACAACGGTAAAATCCATAGACAATTTATCATGGAAAGTATAGACTGGCAATAAATAAATTTAGCCCTAAAAAAACTAATATTTACAATTTTAATACATACCATCAAATAATAAAAATCAATTTAAAATTTCAAAATATTCATGCACATATTTGAAGTTTGTTTATGCTTACATGTTTAAAGCTTAGCAACACTTGCATACAAACGTCTTTCAAATTCCCTCTTCCTTTTGTCTACGGACACGTTGTGAGCACGTTGTTTAGTGATTTTAAGAGTGAAATCTCTAAAAATGTCGTCCCATTTAAATTGGATGATCATCCGAAACAACAATGCGTTCCTTGTAAAGAAACGTAATATCAAGAAGCCCTTCAGCAAGGAGCCTAACAATGTGACTAACCTCAACTCATTCAAATACAATGGCTTGATCCACAAAAAAGCCGTCGGTGTTGTTGAAAATCCCGACAGGAAAGGCTTCTCTGTGGTGTACAAAAAGGCCAAGGCTACCAATAAGCCAGCGAAGAACCTTATCAGCCGCCCATTTAAAGCTGGCGCCAGAAGATCACTCCACAAAGTGAAGCGACTACTCAGAGCCAACAACTACCGCACTGACTTGGCCAAGGCAACCCTTCGTCGTGCTTCTGCCATCCTTCGTTCGCAAAGGCCCGTTAAGGCAAAGAAACCTAAAGCGGCTGCCGCTAAGTCGGAATAATTATGTTTGTAAGCTGGTAATAAAAAATTATAAAATATAATTTCGTTCTTTCATTATTCTCTTAGTTAAATCGATAAACCCTTAAGACGTTTGTATTTTGAAATTAGCTTTCTATTTATCTTTTGTATGATAATTTCTGTCCAAAGGGAGTTGTGATAGAGACACCACTATACAGTAATAGCAAGTAACTTATTGTTTCATTTTGTACTAATTATGTTTTTTTTTTTACATTTAGATCCATTCATAACATCTGAAAATACATCAACTTTAAAGCACAATTGCAATTATCAGTAAAGTTAAACCATTGAAGTTAAAAATCTTTATTTATTAAAAAAAACAATTTCATGACAAATTGGAATGTTTTGCATATTGTTAAGTAATACATAAAATTAAATGTACAGAATTTTATTAGCCTCGAACATGATTAGAAATATAAGTACATGCAAATCGGTAAAATGACTAGTTATAAAACATTTAAATGTGTATTCGATATAAGAGATTACATCAAACATTTGTCTGACAAATAGTTTTTTAAAAATTCATAAAATGAGCAAATTTCAGATCAATATGAATCAAATGATCAATATGAATCAAATCAAACCAATGAATTATTATTGAAATATTTCTTGAACAAGTGTATCCGTTAAATGTTCCTTTTTTTATAGAATATTTCAATTCTCTTTACAATCATAATTTGATTTCTCAATATGGTCATTTCATATACATACAAAACTATTATTTAAAATACAAATAAACAGTAATATTAGTCCAATCCATTCTAAAACATGATTACAATGAAAAAATAATAATGTAAAGAATAATTTCATTTACAAAGACAATTTTCTTCTTGAATAGAGATACTATGTATATTTCTGTTTTTTTTTCTGTTCTAATACAACATTACTAACACCAAACTAATTAAGGGTGGATTAAGCATTTCACAAATAGCCTCAGGTACAAATATGCATAGACAAGAAATCAAAAGGCACAAACATTTAACCTATTCAAAGGCACAATACCAAAATTTATTTTAACTATACATACAAATAGTATATTATTATATAGAATCGATTAATAATTACCATTTTCATTGAAAAATATTGCAAATATAATATTATGTGAAAAAAAGAATCACAATTTTAAATGGTACTCATACATTTTTAATACTCTGATGTGCTCAATACTGATATAAATTTGATTTATCTTAACAAAAAAGTTAATTAATATTATTTTTTTAATTATAATTAATTACAATTTCTAATATTATTAAATTTAATCAATTCATAGGGTTTGTGCACCACAAAGGAAAAATATTTGTATTCATACAAACTAGAAGCTCGTGACAATGCTTTGATCTATACTTAACAATAATTTTATATTTATTTATAATATTTTTACATATAGGCACACATTCAGATGTTTAAAACACATATGAATAAGTTGCAAATTACATTACAGCATAATAAACACCTGTATACAATATGGCAAGATAAATAATACAATAGAAAAAAATATTTACCATATTTTGTCAAGTCTAAATAAATACATGTATGACTGAAAATTTTAAAATACTCTTACATAATAGCTCTCTTTGTAGTTTTTATTACGGAAAATAAAATTAAAAATTAATACTGTCATACACAAATCTTAGTGAATAATTCCTTGCTTTATTTAAAATACACAAAAAGCTAACTAAACAACATATAGTACCTAGTTTTACGTAATTTTTAAATAAATACATGACTAGTACAAATCGCATATTAAACTATACTTCAATACACTATATGTGTATCTTACTTAAGCCAAGTTCATAACAAAGCTAACTAATAATAAATTATATTATTTACCTCAAAAAGCTGGAATTTAACACATGTGAACCTATATAAAGACTTATTATTTAAAATTACTTATATTTTAACGTGTTTTATTAGGTATGCCATAAATTTAAAGTTTACAAAATGACTTAAAATGACAATTATTTAGTGATATCTTACACGAATTTACCGACATTTTCACTACTAAACTAGAAACGTATGGCATATCTAAGTTAAAATCTAATTGTTGGACCGTACACAGCTAGCATATACATTAATACTATTTCGTTAATGGTACATGTGACTACGAGAACACAACCAAGTCAAGACAAGCACCAAAAACTGAATTATGTGCGTTTAGTTCCAACCTCTTGTTACAAGCTTGCTGCTTGCTTTATCAAACTATATAGGTAGTGTGGTTGAGAGTTTCATTAATAAAACTGTAAAAAACTATCAGGTGCATGGATAAAATATTGGAAAACTCGAAATCTCCAGTAAATAGTGACGATGGAAACTTGTAATAAGCGTACAAATGTGTGCCTAGTGCTCAATACTTATAGTCCCGTTATATACGGAGGATACCAGTTTTTCATTTATAAATCATCATATAGATTGCCTAAACTGAATGATGCTCTCCACTACTGCATTAATAGACACAAAAAAAATGCAACTGTGATTGACATTCTGCATTCAGTCGTTAGTTAGCTACAAACGTAGGAGCACGCATTGTTTAACAAATTACAAATTTAACATCAGCTTTGTTTTGAGGTGGTAGAGCCTAGCTGTGGTCAGTTACTACAGCTCGAACATAGGCTGGCTCGACCGGGGAAGAACCACCCTCTCGCAGAAAATCGGCGTAAAGTAGTCTTTACAAGACTGCGTTTCGTCCGGTGAGTGAGAGAGCCGGTTGCCCTTCCCCTTTTCCCACCCTTTCCTTTTCCTCCCTTTCCCACCTTTTCCTAACCCTTTTCCCCAATGAAGGGCGGCAACACTAGATTAAACTTGCGGCGGCGACTTGAAATATAAAAAACGCTAGAGTTTCTGAATTTCCCAATATCGAAAAGTGAACAAAGAAGCCACCTTATCTTTTATCAATTTCTCTGAATATATCATCAACCATCTTAAATCATTCAATAACACATAACTTCATACTTCGTTCCACTTCATTACTATTAATCGCCTATGGCTGTCACTGGACGTCCTGCAAAACTTGCTAATATGTGAAATAACTGTTTCTTTTCGTTTTTTTTATATTGTCTCCTTGTACATATCCCTTCCTTATATTTATACATTTATGTCGGCTCAGACTCTTAGTTTTAAGTTAGTATAAGGTTCATCAATCATCCTCATTATCACCCTTTGCACTTGGGAGCTGGAGGACCGCTGTATCAAATCGCAAAAGCCCTCCAGCCCCTCGGGCTCTTCAGCGTTTCATCACATAGTTTTAAGTCTTTAAACATCTATAACATTTATTAACGTGTCTACTTTTATATCTCTTTTGTCTATTTTTTATTACCATTAAACAATATATTTAGATTAAAAAAAAATAAAAATATCGAAAAGTGTTTTGGAATGGATAAAACAAACTCTTGACAAGAATATTCCCATAGATGGATCTTCGTTTAAAGAAAAATCAAAAGAGTTTGCTACAAAACTAGGAATCCAGAACTTTTCTACTAGGAACGGCTGGTTAGAAGTTTTCCAAAAAGCAGCTCGGGAAAGAAAATCTGTGAACCAAGGGGTGTGCTCTCACTAGATTGAAGATCTGCCAAATCTGTAAGAAAAGTATGAACCAGATGATATTTACAACGCGGATAAAACTGCTTTATTATTCAAGTGCCTTCCGGATAAAACATTTACGTTTAAAGGCGAAAAAATCCATTAAGGAAAACAAAGCCAGGAACGCCTTATACTTCCCCAGCGTGTAAACCATGAGTGGTACGGACAAACTCCATTTTCTCGTCTTCGGGAAATCAAAGCGACCAAGATACTTTAAAGGTAGCAAGACTCTCCTCGTTGATTGTGTCAACAATACGAAGGCTTGGATGACCAATATTTTATTTAAAGATTGTTTGAGAAAAGTTGTCAAAAGAATAAAGATAAACCGAAAAAAAATCTGCTCTTCATTGACAACTATGCTGCCCATACGGACTTGCCAACACTCGAAAATATAAAAGTAATGTTTTTAACTGCTAACACTACTAGTAGACTCCAACCATTACATCAAGGTATCATTCACACTTTTTTTATCTCAGGGAAGTCGTTAACCATATTCTTATGAGACTGGAAAACAGTAGCCCTGATTCTCGTAATTCTAGCTATGAAATTTGCAAGAAAAGCATAGTACTTAGTCAGTGACGTTGCTGTCAAAACCTGATTCAAAAAGCCTGGTTTTGGAAAAGTACAGATGAGCTAGACCTGCTAGAGGAAAGTTATACCTAGTTATACCTAGCAACAAGGAATGGACTAAGCTTGTGCCTTACGAATCCAATATATTAATGCCGACCTTGGAGTTTTCGGTAAAATTAAAGACGACGTAAAGAATTTCAATGATGCTAGCTTTAAATGCGTTGGAAACGGTCAAACAGTAATTTCAATACGCGACGGTTTTCGATTAAGCAATATTCGACAAAATTTATGAGTTAGAGAGAAATATTCAAAATACTAAAATTGAAACCCAAACGAAATTGACGGATTTTTTTAAGTGTACCTAAATAAGTTCTAAATAAAATTTTATTGTATTATTCTGTGTTTTTTTCGTAAGCATCTTGATACCTACTCTTATAAAGTACTTATATATCGAATGTGACTTGTTATTGCTGCGTACCTCTATAAGAGAAACGTTACCCATAAACCTGCTTTAGCGAGAAACTAGGGTTAGTGAATACATACTTAAAAACTTTAAACGACAATTTAATGCAATACAAAAACTACCAAATCATAAATAAAAAAATAGTAATTAAATCTTCGAATACCTTTTGTTTTCAGACTGTATTAGCAAAAAAGTGTTAACTAGTTTTCCAACTACATAATCGTAATTGACTATCATGACAGAAATAAACGTCTTGTTTCATACAATGCGCTAGCGTTGCTCCATATATTTAATATTATCAAACTCATCAGTCGACTATGTTTGTTTGTTGCTTCCCACACATAAAATCGCTTATCATCAATATTTACACTCAAACATGTAAATCAATTATAAGTAGTGGGGCGTGTCATTTTAGTTTAGGCAATCTATAGATAGTACCTATTTATAAGGTCATTGAATGAAAAACTGGAAACGCTCCGTATGTAGTTACGATTTTAACTTGTACTAGGCACACGACACAAGAAAATAATCACAATGCATTCTCTAGTCACTAGTCTAGTGTAAAAATGTTAAGTTGGGCATGTGTGACGTCATCACCACGTGACAAAACACGCAAACAATGAAATGTAAACATGATTGTATATATGAATAGAAATAATTACCTAAAATTCGTTTATCATATGTAGAAATCAAATCCTTCGTTACATTCGACTGACAAGTGCATTAATTAAAAATGTATTAGTGAGTGTTGATTTTAGGATAGCAAATTACTCACTCGCAAGCCAATTTGCTATCGAACGAACTGAGTGCTATACCGAAGGCTTGTAATGCACAGAGGGGATATCTGAAGTCCATAGTGAATACATCCTCAGATATTCTACCGAATTGCATCACAACATAATCGGGTTCCGAATCGTGTACTATCTGAAAGTTTTTAACACTCGCCTGTGTAACCCTGCCGTGGAAATTTAGTACGTACGATTGTGTTTCGTCGTTCCAAACTGGAGTTTTATTATGAAGGACCACTATGTCATCGAAATTCTGACTTTTCCATCTTTCTAACAGCGTTTCGCTATCGTCTTGCGGCGCTATAGTAACTCTTTGTCGGTCTTGAGTCATTCCAGGAAGGATGACTGTCATTTTGCGAGGTCCTTTGAAACCCAACACGTTGGTATCCTGTAATAGTTAAATGCAATTTTGTCAGAATACAAAAAATACATATGAATTAAAATGAAACTAATATTTTCGGATCACTACATTCATTCATTCTCATCTCGTCTGCCTGTGACCGTGGGGAGTATGTTGTTTTAAAAATAATAAATAAAACATAGTAATCGGAAAATATGACTTTCATTAAATTAATACTCGCGTAAGTCTAAATCTTATTATATATGTATTCTTGGAACTTCATTATAGATGTATTTTTGGAACTTGATATTATAGATCAAAATACATACATAATCGTATACAAAGTAATGGGTGTCACTATTTTTTTTTTTTTGTAAATTATAATACAAATTAAACTTCGCTAAATAAATTAATAACCTAATATAACCCATAATAAATTAGGAAATACTTATTAAATATTATCAGTTTGTAATTTTAGTTTATTACAATTTAAAGAAATTTTAAACTGAACAATTAATGTAGTGCCGCAAAAATGCAATTCACATATTGAACCTCAATTTGGCAAAATAAATACAGAAAAATATACTCACATAAATAACAGCAGCTAATTCATGTCTGGGCGGGTCCCTATGGTTTTTCCTCCAAGCTTTTCCATTATCGTAAACAGTGAAAGCCGTACCGAGTAAATTGGAACGCAATTTCCCCGCGAAGCTGTCAGCTTGACGTGTTAATTCAGTGGGATCGGTTGATATGAGGTAGTTCGATGTAGCTGACTTCTTTCGCTTTCGACCTGAAATATTCGATAATGGATTTATATTGGATCGATTTTCTATTCACTTTCATAGCAAAAAGGAACTTTAAAAAATCGCTTAAATAAAAACATTTTATATAATATGAATATGAATATGCGCAAAAAATAGGTAATGATTATACAGTAGCGTCTTAAAGGAGATTTTTGTGTTTCTGTAAAAAAAATTAATTAGCCTCTAAATAGGGAACAAACATTATATTTACCAGCTAGAAGAAATACTTTCTTCCCATAATCCTTTTCTAGGTGTAAGAAGTACGTCGGGTACAAGCCTCTATCCATTCCCTTCCTGTCTCTTGCTATTCTACATTTGTATAACGTCCCATGTTTCGCTGGAGTTATCACGAACGATTCCACGGAACCTTCAACTGATCCTTCAATCTCAGCAGTCTATATAATGAAAATGAAAATTGAATTCTATTACAATATAATTAAGATTGAAATTCAAAATGATCGAATAAAGATCATCTTCATAGTATAGTATATTATTGATTTTTCACTTCATACTTACTAATACTTTATTTAACATCTTATTATTTATATTGATTCTAACCACTGACTGACCCAATTTGATGTCGATGTACGTGTTAATAATTTATTATAATTACGTTATGTTCCACGTCTAATGATAGCAAGTTCGTATAAGCTTCTAATAGTTATCAACAAATAAAATGATTCATCAAAATATGAAGGGAAAATTATTATATGTTTATTTCCCTCTAGTTACATAACAACTATAATATCCCGATTGTTATTTTATATACGCACGTATTCAACAGTGAAGGATTAAATGTTCAGCAAAATAGCAATTATTGCTATTCATAGTCTAGACTGCTTAGTTATATTAACTCTTAAGATACTTATGTACTTCATGTTACAGACACGTGATATAATACACATGGCTTCTACTGAAAGTAGTAGTAGAATATATCTAAGAAAATACAACAAATCAAAGGAACTTTAAAAAATTTACAAAGGTCAATTTGCTTTCTAAGTACGATTTTGGTTGTTCAAAATATTAGTGTCCTAATAAATATTATAGGTATACAAAATATTAGTGTAAAACTAATCACTGACCAACGTCATTTGAATGATATATATTAAAGGATAATCCTGAAAAAACTATAAACTTCTAGATTTGATGTTGAATCATGAATGATATTTAAGGTACAGAATTAGCTAAGTTTTTATTGTTAATAGTAAAAATATACCTAACCACGTTTCACTATGTTATATTCCTAGAAAGTTCTTTCGAATAACAAACAAAAAATATGTATTGGTAGCTCAAAAAAAATTATTAATAAATATATTTTTATAGTAATTACTTTCATTAATACACTTAAAATTAATGAGCTCACCGCAACATATACCACATACGTTATTTTATTATTTTGACTACGTATTATATGTATGTATGTATCGCATTGTATGTATTAGTCAGTGGTGGCTCAGTGGTTAAAGGGCCCGCCTCTCGGCCTCTCGTCGCCGAGGGCGCGGGTTCGATCCTGGCCCGGGCAAGTACCAATATGATTTTTCCGAATCATATGTACTTTCTAAAGAGTATTTAGACATCACTGATTAAAGCTGATTCCCAAAAAGTGGGTTGATGTCAGGCAGGCGGCCGGTCGTAAAAACAAATATGTAGCCAAAAACTATTCACAACATGTAAGGCAGACCCTGGCTATAGCTGGGAAATTGCCAGGTAGAAGAAGAAGAATTATATGTATGTATCGCAACTTCCCCTTAAATCTTTTACAAAACCTCGAATATTAATACATTTCGTATTGAATGAAAGACAAAAGCGATGGAATCTTTTATTTAGAACTGTATTTCTGAATAGAAATTCTTTGTAGTTATTTCTTTTTCACGAATAGCGACTCGAGACGTTTGAGTTGGCTATTGTGTCGGAAAGGTTCTCAGGCATTAATTGGTCGACTTTTAACTATTTAAAATAAAAAACAAAGGAATTTCTATGATATAAATCATTCTGGAGTTATTTTTTATATGCGAATCATTATATACGATCAAGGGATAAAGTGGTGCATCGCAACAAAAATAAGTTGACCATGATTACTTAAATTTGATCGTCTTATTAGAACGAAGATGTGGTAGTCGTTCATTTAACGTAACATTTAATAATGCGTTGTTAACTTTACAGCGTGAGACTTAAATATTTTGACTGATTTTCATTAGTATAAATGCCTAATTTAGATTGAACAAGGTCTGGTAAAACTGGGTATAAGCTTGATTAATAATTATAAATCTTCTATATATATAAAAATGGATTGCTGTTCCTTAGTCTCGCTAAAACTCGAGAACAGCTGAACGGATTTGTCTTATCTTAGTCTTGAAATGTTCGTGGAGGTTCAGGGAAGGTATAAAAGGTGAGAAAAATTGGAATAATTGCCGGGAAAACCCTAAAAACAGCCCTTTTCTATTTCCCATACAAACGCTTTTTTTGACATTAGATTTGACAACTAACTAATATGTCAATCATTCTGTTTGATTGAAACAGGAAAAACCTGATTATTTATGGCCTCTAAGACGGAATAGAGTTCGCTGGTCAGCTATACATATATTACTAATGACGAAACTAACGCGGACGAAGTCGCGGGCAAAAACTAGTAATGAATATTATTCCTTAATTTATTCATAAACCTCGGTTTATAGGTTAATAGTTATAATAAAGCGTACCGTAATATTAAACCTATATTGCGAACCATATTTTAATTAGGCTATAAGCTTGTAAACCGCCTTATGTATATTAATTTAAGCTAATAATTTATGCGTCTTAGTAGTTAAATTATAAATTGGAGAATACGATTTTTCTATTCAGGTTTATTGAATATTGTTTCGTACATAATAGTATTTTTATATAATGAAAAGTTGCCTTACATTAATACTAACAGAAATATTGGTTTTTTATGAAAATGTATAAAAACAAAGTAAATGAAACGTCAACATTATTAACAATGACTTGTAAGTACATACGTCATTCGTGTTTTGATTTAAATGAAATTACTCATACGATTGAATGAAATCATAAGTAATAACCGCATTGTAAATAATATTAGGAAACCTACGTTACTACGTAGTAATAATAAGGTTTCTTGGAATTAAACGTACAATATTAGTTGGTACAGATATTCAATAACGCCTACAATTCGACAGTCCGACCGACAAATGATTTATATATTTTTTTAATTAGAATCATGCCAATTTAAGTTTTACACTTATTAAAAAAGGTTTTATATTCAATTTAATAAGTGAGCAAAAATGTAACTGGTCAAATATAAACTGAAAAATATATTAATTCAAATTAAGCTATCAAAAAAAAAATTATACAATTTCTTCAATTATTGTTTGTCAATTATAATTGCTGAGCAATGGTTTTGCATATAAAAACTTGTAATATTAAGATTTAGTACTTGTAGAGATTTTAATTTATATGTAGGCTAACTAGTGAGCAGTTAAAAAAATATAAAGTATATATATATAAAAGAATAATTATAAATTATCAGATATCATTATGAACAAAAGAATTATCTTAGTATTCAACTGTATAGTATACATATAACTATAATATGATACTATATAAATGTATAACTATGGATTGGATTCACCGTGCGGGTGCCGGATCCATCGCGTTGCAGGGAGAGGAGCTTCAACAGTGCCTGGGACTTGCGACCCAGGTGTAGGTTTAAGGGTCTATCTAACGCGCGTTAAACGCTCACCTCCACTGTCCAAGCACCTCTCCCTACCTAAATATAGTATTGAGAATAAGCGTAATAACTTACCTGACTGGGAGATGTATCTCGTTTTGGCCGTCCTTGTAGTGGTGCCACCGCAGCATCAGCGCACACATCATCAGTACTAACATCCCTTCCCATACTACAAACTGGAACACTCTCACAATCCTCTTCACCACTACCTTCGCCAATATCATCACCCACTGTTAGAACTTCGATCTGATTACCTAATTCTGTAAGAATTAAAACTTATTACATCATGATTCATGGCATTATGTAATTGTATTAGTTAATTAATAATTTTTTTGTGGTTATTTCAAATTGATAGGTGTTCCAGTGTTAAATATAATATGTACATAAGATTTTTGTGATGAATAAAACTGTGCTCTTTTTAATTTACACTACAATAAATAATTAATGAAGTAATAATTTTTACACATGTTTATGTTCTAGTATTTTTCTAGTTCAATAGCTACAATATTACTTTCAATCAGAATTCCAATAAAAAAGTTTTATTGCTATATCTGTCAAATAATATTTTTGCCAAATTTTTGGGTTCTTTTTAAAGAATTATCACATTTTACTGCCTGAAAGAAAATTTATACAACCTTAAAATATTAATCTGTTAATTCTATAATCCTTTAAATAAGTATAATTAAAAAGGTGAAATAATATTTACTACAATGTGCACTCATTACAAAATGCTGGGATAAATAAATAAAAAATATATACATACATCATAATGTACAGGCGCTACCCTACAACACTTACCATCGTAAGTAGACATTCTATTAGTCTGGAGGGGTATTACTTGATCTGGATTCACTGGCGACATTAGAAATTGCATTGGACCATCATAGCCTGTTATAAAAAAAAATAACAAAAAAAATGGGATTGGGGATGAACATTCATGCATAATGGGTCAACAAAACTAGCAAAACATTGTCGCAAGTATCTTTTCTTATGCGTACCATGCAGTTCCCGTGTTCTGCTTCCAGAAATCGGCCGCTTAGCAGAACCTACCCTAAGATCATTCGCTTGAACCATACCAGAATTCTGCCTCTTTTGTTTCATTTTCTGTTCCATGAATTGCCGCTAAAATTATTTTTTGGGTAAACAGAAAAATTGTCCTTCACGAAAACATATTACAAATCATTAATTGACTTAACAAATTCAAATTAAAGTGTACTCACTTGCTGTTCGATTTTTTGATCACGGACATTTATCGAAGCCATAGTGTATTATTAATCCAATTTATTTTATAAAACTTTGTTAATACGCAGATGTACAATATGTTATAGTCACAATAATACTTTCATTTCAAAATTCGATACAATTATTAACATTTTGTAAGCTCTTTTTTTGTTTATAAATCATCTTGCCTACCGTTGCCCAGAAGATTGTGTTGCTATTACATGAAATAATATTCAAAATGCTTGAGCACAATTTAGCTGTAAATTATCTTAAATCATTATAAACAATCTTCTAGTACAATAATAAATAAAGGTATATAAATAAGGGTATATAAATAGAAAGATGTATAATTATGTTAAATTAGGAACATATTATAAGAGTATGTAAATTTGAAGTTGTATGTTATCTTTTATTATTAGGCAAAGTGAATTAAATATAAATATTACCCTAGAATTTAAAAATTCATGTAAAGTAAAATGTGCATAATAAAACAAATCAATACTAATAATTGATGTTGATGACTATATAGTAACATTAACACCGCTGTCAGTAGCGAATAGTTCTTTTTAAATGACAACTGACATTTCAGTCTGAGAATATCTAAAATGGCTCCGACGCGGAGTTTTCTTGGGTTTTTAAATCCTAAAACGATTAGTGTCGTTTTCAATACTAATATTTCTAAAACTCCGTGTCGTTACATACGTAGATGTTACAACTGTAACAATTTTTTAAGAGGTCGAGAAACGGTACCTCTATTACTAAATTGTAAAAATTGGAAGTGTAAGTTTTACATGCTGTCATTACATCACTCGCCGTATATGCTGTAATTTACATTCAATTTCAATGTTATAAATTACTTTCTTATGGCCCTTACAAGTAAAATACTATCTTTTTTGTTAGCCTTGAATTGACAGTAATTTTATGATATAACCTCAAATGTTTCTAGATAATGAAATCATTGGAAAACACCGAAACTTTCATACAACAAACAATTTAAAAGCTCGCGTTGATTATTACAAAGTTCTTGGAGTGTCCAAAAATGCTTCTGTTAAAGACATCAAGAAAGCTTACTATCAATTAGCTAAGAAGTATCATCCGGACGCAAATAAGTCAGATCCAGAAGCTTCGAAGAAGTTCCAGGAAGTTTCAGAGGCTTACGAGGTTAGTCAGAATTAAAATAAATACAAAATTTAACTAAAACTGCAACTACTAAATTTTTTATTATGAATGAATGTTCCAGAATCTTAAATAGTGAATATATGAATTGTTACAGATTTTGTCGGATGAGAACAAGCGTAAGCAATATGATACATATGGCACAACTTCTGAACAAATGGGTATGGGTGGGGCTGGTGGACCTGATGGATTCACTCATCAATGGCAATACAAATCTATTATAGACCCTGAGGAATTGTTCCGGAAGATTTTTGGTGATGCTGGCTTTAAAAGTGAGGCTTTCAGTGACTTTGCAGAGAGTCAATTTGGTTTTGGTGCATCTCAAGAAGTGAGTTTATTTTGTTTGTTACTTAACATATTCATATACAGGTGACTGATGAATTACTATCCATATTTAAGGACGTGATATTTGACGATCATATATGACAAAATAAAAATTAATATAACATAAATATTAATAAACTTTTAAGTAAAGTTAACCAAAAGTTATGTAATTAATTACGCATCGTGTGAACACCCTACAGATTAGGTATACACACACACACACCCACGCGTGCGGCGGCGTGGTGTTGTATCAACACGCAGCCGCCGTGTCCACACTTGGAACACTTGGAACATGTCCACACTTTATTTTTTTTATACGGAAATTTGGTTAAAAATTAAGTACCTATTTTTTTTACATAATTCGAATGAGAATCATGTACCGAGTATTCTCCTTAAATATTGATAGTAATTCACCAGTCACCCTGTATATTACCATATTCATTGTGTAACTATTTTAGGAATACTTAATTTATAGATCTATTGTTAATTGTTTATCTGCATTAAGTTACAAGTATTAAAGTAAAAATCAGTTCAGAAATAATTATAAAGTTATAAAATGTTTTTATATTGAAATGTTTTATAATTTTATTTTATTTAAATTGCAGATAATCGTAAATCTAAAGTTCACCGAGGCAGCTCGTGGTGTTAACAAAGATGTTAATCTGAATGTTGTTGACACATGTCCCAAATGTCAGGGTTCAAGATGTGAACTCGGCACTAAAGCCATCAAGTGCACATATTGTAATGGCACCGGAATGGAGACATTTTCTAGAGGTAGTTTTTCATCAGATTTTTGTTACAGTAATACCCCGCCTAACGCGACCCCGTTATAACGGTTTCACTATAATGCGAATTTCAAAAATTTATTCAGTTTTGGACATATTGCAGAGTATAGATAATAATGATGACCGCGCCTTGACCGTATGTCAAACAATTAAAAACAGTGTTGGGTGTTATGAACTTATTTAACAAGAATGTAAACAAAACGCTACCCAAAAGACAATACATGTATTTTTTCGTAAAAAATAAGAGTACCTATGTATTGTATAGTGTTCTTAGAATTAAAGTGATTGATTTAAATGATTTTTATATTTGTGTTTTAAATTTTGATTGTGTTTAATCATAAACCTCGAGATACGCGAATTTCAGTTAATTAAGCGGGGTATTACTGTATATTAAATTACAAATTATGTTAGGTGTAAATGTTTATTAATATAATTATTTGATTGTAGGTCCATTTGTTATGAGGTCGACATGTAGACATTGTCACGGTACTCGTATGTTGATTAAATTTCCATGCCTTGAATGTGAAGGAAAAGGACAGTCGGTAAGAAATTCTAAGTTTTTTTTTACACTGCCATCTTGATTTCCTCTAGATGACTTTGAAAATTTTTTACCTGTTCAAGTTTAGTATAACTTTTAATGTTAATGTTTTATGGTTTATGAAGATTTTTATGAATTCTGTAAACTATTGAAATCTTTCCTAAAGACATTTATTACAAGACTCCTATTACATAGATATCATTTCATTACTAATAATATTTTTTAATGATAATTTGTCTTAATGAATAATTTCAACTCTCCCACTAATTAATAAACTAAATTTGAGTGTATATCTTTCAATTCAATGATCTACAACTTAGCCATATAAATTCCGATAGTCTATAAACAATTTATAAATTGAATGTGTACAGAACATTTTATGACCTACAATAGAACAAACAACATATTATAGATCTTACATAAGCATACAAAACGTTTTAACAACTGGATATAACTCATAATTGAAATTGTAACAATGATTTCAGGTTCAACGTAAAAAAGTTACGGTTCCAGTGCCAGCCGGTGTAGAAGATGGTCAGACTGTACGTATGTCTGTTGGAAATAACGAAGTGTTCATTACATTCAAAGTGGAAAGCTCTAAGTACTTCAGACGAGATGGACCCGATGTTCATACTGATTGCTCGGTAAGTAAATATATCCCTACTAATATTACAAATGCGAAAGTAACTCTGTCTGTCTGTTACGCTTTCACGCCTAAACCACTGAACTAATTTTAATGAAATTTGGTACAAAGATAGAATTGACCTTGACAAAGAACATAGGATAGTTTTTATCCCAAACATTTGAAAGGTTCTCTTAGAAACGCGATATAACAGACTTCCACGCGGGCGAAGCTGCGGGCGGAAAGCTAGTATATTTAAATACTATATAACATGAATATCGTAACTTACCAAATATACTTATATATAATATTATTATACATACAAACAAATTTGAAGGTTTTTAGAACTGTTTTTATATTAATTTCAGATATCTGTGTCTCAAGCACTTCTCGGCGGTACAGTGAGGATACAAGGTCTTTATGAAGATCACACTTTGCAGGTATGATCATGTTTAACATAAATTGAGCAGCTAATTAGAGATTTAAGACATTTCCATGCTCTATGTTAAGAAATAAAAAAAATATTTACTGAGTTAATCTAATTACTATAGTCATGAATTCAACTTTCAATAGTTCAAATTTTAATTTTTAATTTATAATGTATGACCTTATTAGATTTCCTTAAACATAAAAACATAATTTTAGCAATATAAAAAAAAAAACTTTCTTTAACTTACAATTTAGTACAAATATTAAGAGAGTTTTGTTTTAATAAGCTGTATAAATTTGACATAAAAAGTTTTCAAACGGTTCTCACCAAATTTTTAGTTTTAGAAAAGTTGTTACATAATTATATGTATATAATATAAATTTGCTGCAGTCGAAAATTCCTATAAAAATTACAGAAATTAATTTTATTAAAGTTTCTAATGTAACAGAATCAATGCAATATAATTCTACACAAAGATAATAATAAAAGAAATAAAGCATATATAGAGTATTGATTATAATGTTTTTTATATACAATTACTCCATTAAGATTTTTTTTCTGTTCTATAATCGTTTTTTTAAATATATATATAATATTTTCCAGATCGTGCCTTGCACATCATCTCATAGCACAATACGTCTGTCTCGTAAAGGCATGAAGCGTGTCAGTCAACATGGTTATGGAGATCATTATGTGCATATTAAAATACAAGTATGTTGTTTTAACATTAATAAATTTTTAGTTTAGACAGCAGAATTATATATGATAGGTAATTTATCTCTCTATCTAAGTAAGGGTCTTTGGGTTCATTGGTTAAGTCATTGACCTAATATAGAGCAAGGTGCAGGTTCAAATCCTGTTTCTAATTATGATTAATTTTTAGTGTTTATAACAAATTTAATAAAAATTCAATATTAAATCACACATATACAAATCCTAGTTGTAGATTTAATCAATGCCCTTCTTAAGGAAGACAAAAATTATACTTCTAAAATTGTTCTTCCTATGTTGCTTGTTATAATGTCAATTACCTAATAATTTTTTTTTTTTATTGGGAATCAAAAACAGTTACGAATAACAAGATGGATATTTTGTTAATTTTTTCAGGTACCAAAATCTTTAAGCGATAAACAGAAGGCACTGATCAGTGCATACGCTGAACTAGAAGAAGACACACCGGGACAAATACACGGAGTTGCTTTTGACAGAGATGGTAAGAAATAAGTTGCACGGATAACATAATAATACAGATTATTTAATTATTATATTTCAATGTCAAAACGGATTAATAAAAATATAGATTATATAAGTTGTGTCATTGTCACGTGTTAAATCAGAGAAAACATGAAGAAATTTCTTTTTTAATAAGGAAGAAATATACAATTTTGAGGAACAAAAAGTGTGTTAACTTTATTTTACAGACGGTACAAATAATAGCGGTAGTGATAAGAAAATTCACGAGGCTAATCGTGAGAGCGATTTCAAAGAGGAGACGAAATGGACGTTCATTGATAGTTTAAGCGAGGCGTTTGTAAAGAATAGGACTAATTTCCTCATAGGTTTTCTATCGTCGATCGTTATAGGGTTTTTGGTTTTGTCGAGCGATCCCACTGATAGGTCGGGCTTACAGAGATATATGGAAAGTGGGACTAGCACAAATTTCCCACCGCCCGATGTACCGTTGGGTTACAAAAACTCTATGAGGAAACGAAATGAAGGCAATCCGGAATTGTATGACGCTTAAAAACTATATACCAACATAGTATTTATTAGATCCGGTTATGTTTGTGATAATAAGGGATATAGTATGATGGTTATGTTTGTAAATAGATTCATTAATATATATGTTATAACATTATAGTTGTTTCATTTAAAAACCTTTGCTTACCTTGCACCATCATGCTATAGCCAAAACATAACATTCATGACGCATAGATGGAACAAAATTCAAAGTTTTTGTATACAATCTTGAGAAATAGGGCGCAATTATTTGGCTCATCAAACTGACTTTATGAAATTGATACGACTTTTCAAACTTTTGAACTTTTTAATATATAATCAATTCAGAATTTATATTTCAAATATATATAAATAAAATTATATTTAGAAAATTTCTTCGTTTTCTAATTCATACTTTTGGTTGTTGTAGGTAACAAAATATAATGAAAATGTTCCTATTTGTAAGTTCTTTATTTTAAAGCATCCATAGTTATTTTGCACGTCGTATATTTTATCTTATTTAAAATATATCCAACATTTGTTTTTAAATACACATGAGCAATAGATTTGAGCTAGAGGTTCATATAATATATTATTTTATTGAATAAATAAATATATTTGTTAAGCTATTTTGCGTTTTGAAACTAAATCTATTGGTTCCTGTGATCGTACTTAAGAAAAGTCGTGATTAAACATTATAGTTGAGATAAATTTATTGTAAGAATAAAATTATGCATGCTATGTTGAACTATGTACAGTAAATTGTTTTATATGTATTAATATATGTAAATAAATATTTATATACTATATCTATATCGATTTTGGAGATTATGTATTTTTAATCTGTTCTCTAATGATTCTGACATATGAAATGTCCACAGGTAATAAAACTTCAATAGCGGAGCCACAGAATTTAGTAGACGCTATAAAAGAAGCGCTGAAGGACAAGAAAAGTATAGAACCCGGCGTCAGCGAGGAAGATTTGAAAGAGTCAAAGCGCAGCAAAGGATAAATATATATTTGGATCTTATATCTTTGCAATAAAGTAAAATTTTGCATGACCGATAGATTCCAATGTTTAGTTAAATAAATCGTATGTATTTTTATTTGGTACACTTGTTAGCTTCAGTGCAATACTGTGATATGAATATAACATGGATGTTATTAGTTTCGTTTTGCAAAATGTTATAATATGTAATAAATAGACCAAAACGCTGTACATAGCCGTTGATTAGTTTGTAGGATGTGGAAATAAAAATATATAAAACTAACAGGTATTTTACTCATAAATATATATTATATTTTTCTAGTTAAATATATAAATATATGTATATGTATTTATATAATATATTTGCATGTAAAAATCAACAATTACCTCACATCTTGGAAGCTTAGTTATAAACTCTTATTATATAGATCGAAAATTTTGGAATCGTCAAAGTATTTGTCAGCGACCAAATTCATGGTAAGATCTGCTCTAAATATAGTCCCAAAGTTATAATAGTGTCAACATTAAATATAAAATAATAAAATATATACAAAACGTTAGTGTTTATATCTACTAAATAATAAAAAAATGCGTCATAAATATCTCGTGTTAAGTAGCCTTTTTTAATTTTTTATTTATTCGAAACAGTAAGGGCACTTTTAATAAAATAAATATTTCACTATAAAACTTCTTTATTTCGTGTTTCGCATGTCTTACGCACATCATAGTCAAAAAGTCTATGATTTGATGCAAATCTTTCAAAAGACGAACTATTACGTCGACGAAGTGTTGCCAGTGCCCAAGCTAGTAGACACATCGCGCATTCTACATATAATCCATATAAAATCCTTACAAAACCCTCAACCTGTAAAAAGGATCATATTATTTATATTTCAATTAGCCTACAATTAAAAGAAAAAAATATATTTCACTCGTTACTTCTTTTAAGAAAACGTGTCAATAGAACTTTCTTTTAACACAAGAAGACAGTTAAATTAACCATTCTCAAATAAAATTACCCAAATATATACTACAAATATCAAGAAAAGTCTCAAATATTTTTAATGTAATTGTTTTTTCACGTAACAATTGATAATTTTTAAATTATATGGTGAACGTGAATACGCTCATTTTAGGGACTGGTTTCTTTTTATTAGGTTTAAGGAAGGAAGGATAAGGAAAACTTGAATTGGTATAAAAGCGAGATTTGGACGAATTCACTCGTCTAAAGAAATGCAAATGTAATAGCCACATCCAGCAATTTCTGTACCTACTAAAATTGTATTTTTCTTATGCTAGTCCGCAGTACATTAGCAACTGATTCCTTGTATTTAATTTGTAAATCACATATGTTTTTTTATATAAAACGTCTATTTCAAGGTATTTCAGAACTCACCCTATCCAATCCACCTGTAGTCGTAAACTCGAGGGGAAATACAATAGTTTCAAAAGGCGGTTTGTGTCTGATGATCCCAAATAATGTAACACCAATTATATAATAGGTTAGTGTTACCAATGGCACGCATCGTCCTATACCCATAAAACTGATACATCTCTGGAAAATTAAAGAAAAATACAACATATATTAAAAATACATATAATAAATACATTTTAAAGAAAAAGGTACTGAAATTTGTAAATTATTTCTACTATCAATGGAAATTCAAATGATAACATACCATGAAAGTTTTTCGTAGACTACACTTTTTAGTACATTCTCTAGCATCCGAGTCTCTTCTATTTTCTGTAAAATTAAAGGATTTCCTTTATTTTATACTTTACTTTAAGTATATATTTGAAATATTTAATGAAGGTATATAGAGAAATTATACTAAAAAGCTTCTAAATTATTATATCATTTTTTAACTGAGCTTTTATTTTTGGGTGCTCCATGGAGCGATGGCATATCTTAACTTTATATCTAGAAGGGTCTTATTAGATTGATATAATGTAAGAGTCATTTAAATGATTAAAAATAAATCAGTTACTCGTTGAATGACTAGATAATATGAACTTTTATTGTAGTTAAATAAATTTTTCTTTCCGTAGTTCATTAAGTGACATTTTAATTTGATTTGTTCCGTAATCGTTTTTTTTAGGTATAGATTTTTTTTTACATGACTGGGTAATAGAAAAAAACACATCTCTTTTACACTCTAATAAGATGTACTGTGATTTACAAGTCAGATACATTGAAATTCTTTGAGATTTGTCTCGAGGCGAATCTGTTCTCAGTAACGTTACTTTACATTTAAAAGAGAAAGATCTCAGACTGTTAACTATAATTCAGAAAAGACAAAAAACTTCTCACACATTATTTTTGACGTTATTTACATAAAATGAACTTACGAATTTGTTGCTATTCATTATATAATTACTATATAACAAGAGACTAAAATTATAAATTATAGTTTATAAAAATGTAGATCATGAAACTCACGTGTATTTTCTTTTAAATTTTTAATGCTCACATTTATGTTTAAAACTGTTTTATGAGTAAACTTTACTGAAAGACGAACCAGATGATTTACGGTCAAAGTAATTTTCATGCCTTCAATCTATCTCTTCTAACCTCAATTTAATCTAAACTTTATCTAATTTTATATTCGCTTTACTTATGATATATTTCATCAAAATATGAAAATTTCTTACATAATGAAAAATGTAAGTAATTAAATACCGCAAATATAGATTATTGAACAAATAATTATATGTTTAAAAATGTGGGGTCCAGATATGTTTAATAGAATGTATACATGATAAAAATAATATTAAAATGAAATACCTCTATTGATAAACTAACAGGAATTTCCACATAATTACCTGGAGACAGGAAAGTATGCGCTGTATATAATAAATTGAACGCTTTACTATGAGGGTTTAAAATTGTTTAAGCCATGCAAGTTTATATCAGTAATGTAGTCTACTAAAACTATTTTAAATATTATTCGATATTTTATTATAAAACTTTAACATTTATTCAATCTTAAAATGTTTTTCATAAAATTAAATAACGAAAGTTTTTATGAAACACTGTCTGTTCACAATTTGACGTTATTAAATTACTAGAAACCTTAATGGAAAATCTTTGTAAAGCTGAAACTTAAAAAATGTTTGACGTCCGTGATTTCAAAAGTAAATTAAAAGTTGTTTGTTGTTTATTGAATAATTATATCACATAAAAAGTTATTAAAACCGTAGCTAAAGATGACGAAATTTTCCTCTTAAGATATTGGGGTTAATGCGTTGTTATATTGAATTTATAAATTATAAGTGGAAGCCACTTTTGTAATATAGGTTCTATAATTAATGTGTTTGATTAAATTGGTATCTTCTGTATCGAGTATTGGCGCCAGACGGTAGCTGTAATTATCACTGTAATAACTATCGGTTTGCCAGAAGAGATTTCTCTAGTCTTTGAGAGGTGGTTCAATATTAGATATACTTAGTATAGTACAAATTTAATTAGTAACTAAATAATTTGTGAATAAATATCAAGAAATCTTTTCTGTGTAAATCTTTACACGAATATATTAGTAAAACTATAAAAAGATGTGTGATTGTTTAAATAGATTACTGTTCCTTTACTTTCTTACTAACAGGAGCAAATTTAAGTTCTTTTATTAATAATTCTATAGAAAGTGGTTGTAAAGTTGTATATCATTGTATTGTAAGATATATTTCTTGATTATAGGGCGACACGAAGTTCGCCGGGTCTTCTAGTTTGTATATAAATATATGACGTTGGCGTGCACACAAACACACACACACACACACACACACACACACACAAATAATAAGTACTGCTTGGTATATGGAGGTGGTTTTAAAATAAAGTCCAATTATAATATACTATGTGAAGTGAAAATTCATGTGCTGAAGATTTCTAAACTCGTATGACAAACTACATAAGAATTTCATAAATTCTACAAAGCTTTCAAAGAAGGAACGTTTCGCTCGCTTAAGCTTACGCTAGCTTAACTGCTAAAGAAAATAGCTTAGCTGATATTTTCTTTTTCAATTCACTTTATTAACCTTGTGTGTTTTCAGTGTTGCTATACATTTTTCTGCAGTAATTTTCTCTTAAATACGTCGTGTATTCGTCTAGGCGCACCACGAAATACGTACTTGCGTTCACCACTAAAAAAAGATTAAATATTAAAAACTATATTATGCAATAAATAATATTTGCAACATAATCTTATATTAAAAAATATTTTTCTAAATAAAGCAGGTTCAATTTGATTTTTTTTATTAATTTATAACTTATTTTATATGTAAAAAGTCACAACTGTTATCAAACAGTGAAATCTAATACGATTTCTATAGCTGAAGATATTTAAGGAAAAGAATTGTGTAACACAAATGTAAAACGATAATATTAAAATGTAATTTTCCGTTCTTGACTAGCTTTAAAAGGCGATCAAAAGAATATTACTAAGAATACTGTGTTAAAAGATAAAGAATTTAATACATACTTAAATAAATGTGCGTTGGAACAGCTAGGAGAGCATATATCAGGGCTGATGTTCGTCCCCATAAAGTATGTGGCACTGGAGCACCAAAACCTTTTATAGAGAACGTGTCAGAAATATCGGAATATGAAATGAAATATGTATACGATTCTAATATTATTTAGGCATGTTCCTATAAATATATTTTTGTGGAAATAAATCCAGACATGGTTTATTTAGTGAGGATACGCACTTACAGGTGAAAGTAGTATTAAAATATCAATTGATAATTCTTAAGGCTTTAGACTAAAGAATTGGTTTGAATGCTTTACATTTAATTAACAGTATATTATTACACAATAATCAAGATATATAATTTCATCGTTACATTGAGAGTTAATAACGTAAGAGATCCTACAAATTATATACACCGGATATACGGTACGGATATCCGTCAATTATACTACAGAACCTTGGTCGAATATGTTCGTATAAAATAATATATCTGGAACTTAAGCTATACAGAACTGTACATAATATATAAGTCTATTACTTCTAATTAATTGTTGTAAATTAGCTAATATACGTTAAATACTATTTTAAATTATAATCTATTACATCACAGAGACTTATTGAACGATAATTTCCAACGGTATTGCACAGGAACTTACCTAAAGCTGTCATAACATAAATAGTGAACAGGAACGTTCCGGGAAGATTCCAAAACTGTCCCGGCTTCAGTCTCGCTCCTTCAACCATCGCCTCTATAGTCAATTGACGCTCATCTTCTATACGCTTTTCAATAGCATAACGCCATTTAGATGATAGGGGTGTGATCTAGCAAAATAAATTACACTTTATTAGTATTTATGGTACATGTTACTTCATTACATAATTAGTTTATTACTTAGTTTAGCATTTATTTAAAGAAACAGTTCGATATTTCCGCCAGTATTCATTTGAATAAAACTAAATATTTTCGGATTTACTACGTATTTTTTTAATTATTTTAACTACATACACCCGATGTTTCGGTTACTTTGCAGCGACCGTGATCACGGGCAGACGAAAAGAAAAAAATATTTTCGCACATTCTTGTATGTCTTTAAACTAGTTTATTATTATATTTTTAAGCTCTATTTTTCGAAATACCCAATTATTATCAGTCAATTTTATTATTATTATGTAACTATCCAGTATTATCAGGGTTATCGTTTTAATTGTTATCAAATTTTATAACTAATTCCATAAGTATTGTGTCCGAATCATACTTATACATATATAATGTATATAAAAACTTTGATATTTTGAAATCACAACAATATTAAATGGATTAATCTAATAGCAATTTCAATGATCAATTATAAAAAATGTACAACAGATAAAAGACAAGAAAAACTTTACTTAAATATATTAATGTAAGTGAAGGTTTTATACATAAAATACACAGTACAAATATACGAACATAATATATTTTGCGAGGTATCAGATAAATACACGCGTAGAATTCTGTGCTGATACTAAAATGTTAATGTTGGTAATTCGCTACCTTATTTATGGTGAAATGATCCTCGATCATACGCGGTATAATAATAATAAATATTTATTATCATAACAAAACAAAAAACAAAAGCAATGTGTAAACAAAAGTCTTGGCTGGTCACGTATTCCTCATGAATTTGACAAGCACACATAGCTTATATCTAGACTAAAATGTTTTATGTCACAGTATAATATTTTATTTGTTCTTTTCCATATTCGTATATAGATTTCAATTCCAAGTTTTCTTATATTTAAAATGTTTACAATGAAACATTTTTAAAACCAAAAGAGTTAACAAGTATATCGTATTTATATATAAATCAATGTAATAAGTTAGGCAGCGGAACTACATACCCTTGCCGAAGGATTCCCGATATTGATTGGGATAAATAAATGTCCTAAATAATTTCAAATACTAATATAATTTATAGTAACAGTTATGTCGAATAATTTAAATGCATAGAATATATGACATATGACGGTAAAAATCATAATAGTATTTTTATCAATGCTACATTTTGTTAAACTGTTTCTATACATTTCAAAAATTCAAAAACCAATATTAAAAGCAAACACCACAAGCACACACAAATAACAGTATGGAATAGAAAACACTGTTCTAACAGTTCAAATGAAATGACGATTAAAATGATAGTGCTGCAGTTCTTTAAAGAATTTTTTGTGTCTTTAATATTTCAATGATATGAAAGTTCTGTGTCTACGACTTCTAAAAACAAAACACTATCATCAAAATTTAATTATTCCAAACATTTTAAATCTGCCTGTCACTGTTCCATATTTTTAGCAAACGTTGTGGAAGTTTGAAAGGCTTTTAAACTTTCAATGTAGTCATTCATTGTTTATAAATAAACCATACTTGACATCAAGCCATTTAATGGCTGGCAAAATTTATGTTTAAGTGTTATTAGAATAAAAAAAGATTAAATAAATTTGATTTAAACATTTTTTTATAAAAATAAATAGGTATACATTTTATAGATAAGACAAAATAAAATCGCCTAAATTGAATGAATTTCAAGATTTGGTAAGCTTAGCTTACGACTAATCAAAAATGAAGAAACAAAACCTACATAACATAACTATATGAAGCTATCAAATAATTAATATGAAATGTGTATGCAATTTTTTGTTTAATTTTAGCGATAACTATTACGAGTTTTAACATTTGTCATACGTATAATGTTTTATTAAACCACAATTTATATAAAATTATTTTTATCCAAGTCACTCTATGTAATATAGAATATATCAACAATCTTAATATTTCATTCTCATATTAGTAATTACACTCAAAGAAGGATCATCCATCTTGAATATATTTAACACGTCGCTCCGGTGTCATGTAACTTTGACTATGATTACTTATGACATAACTCCGATTGATGTATGTTTATTTGATATAAAATATATGTATTACTACATTTCTATAATATTCCCTTATTTAAAATGTTTTAATGCTACAATGTTTATAAAAAAAAACCTTATGAACACAATCACTTTAAGTAAAGTGATTGTGTTTAGAAGTATATCGTATATAATTTGAATTCAGTTGGTTACATATCGTATAAAGTATCGATATTATTATTGTATCCCTAGTTCAGAAGCTTTCATCTTTAAATGTAAGTTATATACCTTTTAAGTCCCTCTTATATTTGCTCGAAACGGATTAAACAAGCGTAAGGCCCGTAGAAAACTCTTTTAAGAGGTTCTTGATCTGATATTGGTTCTTTGACATACATATGAAATATTTCTTGTTAAAATTTTGCTTTTAACCGATGAAATTCGTTTCTTTTTTTTTCAGTATTTGATCGAAATTAGTCTTAGTTGACACGGGTGTGACATTAAGTAAATCAATACATAGTTTTTAAATATAATTCAAGTTTATCAATATACGATTTTTTTGTGTCGGGCTCGTAACTATTATACTATTGCTGTGCAGTTGAACTAAATTCTACTTCTAGACAGGAATATTATTCCAAATCTGGGTTTCGAATTGCCTTTGGTAATTTACAGCACTAATAATATTCACTGACCAACAACGATCAATAATTCTCAGTCTTGACTAGGATAGATTTTAAATTTAAATTCCGTTGGATTTTTAATTTAAATTACTTTTCGGTAACAATACTTTTAGCTAATACTTTCTCATGATCTGTCGTAATAATTGAAATTTGTGAAAATAAATTTGTTTGCAAACCTAGACTTATTTAGAGAATCTTTAATCTTGTCTCCTGGATATTAGCAAAATTACGTCTCACAATTTTTCTCCAATTCATTTTCGTTTATGGTAAAAATATAATTTTATTACTACACCCACATAGGTACCATATTTTTTTTAAACACGTGTTCATAAAATAAGCTTCATCTTAGAAGATAATTTTTATATTTTTAAAATGAGTTCAGAAAATATATTTTTGTAGTTATAGTTAATTCGGTGTAGTTTCATTTTTATTAACTTTCAATAATCAATTCAATATATTATTATGCTATTTTATATATTAATTCTTATTTTGTAAACGCGTAGGTGCTTATTAATGTCATTATAACAACAGTAATCAATGAAGTAAACTTTACTAATATTTATTTGGCACGAAAACTTTCGTAGTCAGACAGGAATACTATGTTTTGAAAATATATATCTCTACTTTTTTCTAGTCTTACTACATATAGGAGTTATGATGAAGAGTTTTAAAAATACAGGAAATAGACCCTCACATATTAACCATTCAGTAAAGTACTTTATAAAAACCTGCATCAGATACAAAACTTCTAAACAATTGAGATATTACTTAATTAAACAAGGTAATAATAAAAGTACGGTGTGTTCATTTAAAAACTATTGTTGGATTATTATAATAAATTGTGCTAAGCTGTAATATATTGTAAATGTTGAGGTTAAATGAAAATATTACAAGAGATAAGCTGGTAAAAGCAGAAAACTATTTTTCATGTTGTAATAACATTTCATGACATTTTTATTAAACTTCTCTTCATAATGAAAATAGAAAATAGTTTCTTTAAAAATACTCAACATTAACGGTTGCGAAGATTTTTACTTAAACATAAGAGGCTTTCAAAATGTATAGAGGCATGTTGTTTGATTTCGTTTATTTCTGTTTGAAGCTTTTCCAATAACGAAATCAGACATGTCATGTCCTTTTACTTAAGAACAGTTGGTCCCAAATAAAACGTCCGAAAAATAAATATCTACTGAAAAAATATCTACTTGTGTATACAAGTCACAAAGGTTTTTAATAAAACGAAACCAGTCATTCTTAGAAACATTTAAATTATACGATAATTTTATAGCAAAAATACATTTAGAACGGTAATAGAAATTTAATATTATTGTCATTAGTAAGATTATTACAAAAAATACCTTTAAGTATGTCTAAAATTTTAACAATTTTAATATTTTTATGTAAAATGTAAGCTACTTAAAGGAGTAACATTGGAATTGATTGAGTATTTGGACCGCAGTCCACTATTTCGGGTCTGACAGTGATTGCTATCGACTGAACATTCCTTGGACCGTTTCTTGTGATTGATAACAGAATAGTTTAAGGATAAGCCTCCTTCAGTAAATAACAGCGAATTCAAATAGCACGTTAATAGTAGCAAGCTCATTTGTTTATATAACTCCTTTTTTAATCCTATGCTAATAACTTGGCCATGTATGTATGTATCTCTTAAATCTATATTAAAATACTCTATAGTCTATTTTAATATTCAAAAGAAAAATTTACGACAGTTACCTCGGTTGTAAATATTTTTTTAAACTATGTATAGATATCAAATATATGAACCTACTGTTTAGGTACCTTTAATTTTACTTAAGAGCAAATAAACTGTAAGACTATTGTCATTGGATGTGAGTGTTTAAAATCAATTATTATGTTAACATTTTTATAACTATTAAACAGATTAACTAACTATAATACAGTTTTATTATAAACTCATTGGTATGTTAACGGATATGTGAACTCTGATAACAAATGTTAATACTTAATGAAGTATAATATAGTGTTCTGCTGGGTTAAGTTATATATTCTATTCTGAAATTCTTTTGAATAATTATGTGAGTTACGATATTTCTGTTCTTTACAGCTATGAAATAAATGTCTGATGATGATATTAGTATAACATTTATTTAATTATTAAAATCTTAACCAGTACAGAAAAAAAGAACTGAGATCTACAAAATTGCGATATATTTCTAATGTTTCTAAGAAAAGGTTCTACAATGAAACAAAAAATATATACAGTACTATATA